ATATAATTGAGTGTCGCATCATTTATATTGTGATTAATATCGATCACTCACTTTGTAGCCAACCACATCTTGTATAGTTTGTCACCTATACTTTTGTATTTGTGCTTTTAGCAAGCATTTTTTATTTTTTTATTTATTATTCGTTCATTCCCAAGTGCTTCATTGTGAGGGCTGATTTACGAAGAATTTCAAACTATGAAAAGGTGTTGCAGAACCGATTCATCCCCATCCCACAAAAAAAAAAAACATAAGAATCCTTCTGCCACATACCGAGGCTCATATAAATCAAAATCAGAATCATCAGTTGATAAGCCACAAGCACATAAAGAGAAGTAGAAAGTTCTCTCGGTAGCAAAATACAGCTCAAAGATCATAAGAAATGAGAAGCTAAGATAGAAGGAAATAATTATCAAAATGCATTGCATCACAGAGCACTAGGCAAAGAAGACAAAGGACAACTACCATCAAGAAGATCAGTGCCAGCTAAGAGAATAGCATTATAAAGAATAAAGACAACTCCAATTTTACCCAAAGAAAAAAAAATAATGATAATAATAATAAAGAACCGTCTCAGTTGATTAGGAAACTGGTTCGACGAGTAACGATAATGCAGAATTACCGAAACAACATAACCCTATACACTTCCAGATGAAAGAAGAATGCAAGGAACAAGAAGACATTGAAACAATGGCATAAACAAGCATCGCAGATTTACCCCAAAACTCCGTCAACATTGAGATGATCGGAGGGAGAGACGATGCCAAAAGCTTTTCGAGAATGGGTGTTTGAGATTGCCCGTAACTCCCGGAGTTGAAACAGCGGGAAATGGCTTCGACGCGGAATGACGTAGGGTTTTGAATTTAAATACGGCCTTTTTGAAAGCCAGCCTGTGTAAATAAACTCAGCAAGATCCACCGTCCGTGTCGGACAAGCTCATAGCTTTTGAGCCGTCCATTAGTGACCTGACTGATAATTTGACTGGAATACCGGATAGTTTTCTTAATTGTTTTATGGCCCTATAATTAAATTATTATTATTTAATTATTTTTAAATAACACATATTAATCTTTTTAGATAACTCAAATAAACATTTTAAATGCAGCTCATCATGATCTATTGGTTGGGAGCCTTGATTATCAACTAAGAGGTCTTAGGTGACTTAAATATCTCCAAAAAAATACTTTAACATTTCCTCATAATTTTTTTATATTTTTTCTCCAATTTTCACATCATTAATTCAAAAATCTAATTATTATGTATTGGTCGTTTGATTTCAATTGAGAAGAGTGGTTTTGGTTAGCCTATGTTAGCTTAGAGGTTGGAGAAATTATTATGTGCAGAGTCCGAACAAAAATAACTGTACGAAAATATGAGTGAATATACAATGTATAGTGTGTGTACACATACACACATTGTGTACACTATGTACACAGTATGTGTACAGTCACACTCTGGACGATTCTTATTGTCAACGCATAGAATAATTTTTCTAGGAATTGAGACCTAAGGATTTCAACTAAGAAATATTGAGTTTAAGGCCTTATTTATGTGATGTGCGAATTTACAATTAATTTCGCCCTAAAACAGAGAGAGAGAGAGAGAGAGAGAGAGAGAGAGAGAGACCTTAGGGTGGAAACCTTATAATAACATAGAGAAGTGAAGGAAAAGCAAAAGCGTATGAGCATACAATATATGATATTGTTAAATAGTATACTACTTGTTTCTCTCCTCCATGGGAATTTATGTTTGCTGATAGGGGTGTCAATTTTGGGTCACAGGTCGGATTCGGGTCAAACCCGAAACTGACCCGGCACTATTCAGGTCAACCCGAATCCGACCTGTTTTTAAAAACGAATCAGTTTCCTGACCCGAACTCGACCCACTTCGGGTCCAGGTCAACCCGGCACGACCCGAATGACCGTTTCCAATAAAAAATTATAGTTTTCGAATAAAAAATGGGTATATCTCCTATTTTTTCGGGTCAAAATCGGGTCAATATTGGGTTGTCGGGTCAAAATAGGGTCAATTTCGGGTTAATGGGTTAACCCGAATCCGACCCGATTTTTGAAACGGGTCGAAATGTTGAAACCGAACCCGACCCATTTCGAGTTCGGGTTGACCCTAACCCAAAATTTTTTGGTCGAGTTCGAGTCGGGTTTTCGGGTCGTGTCAAATATTGACACCCCTATTTGCTGCTAGGTTTTGCTTATCAAAGGTCAGGAGAGAAGCAATCTAGGAATTCGTTTGGGATAACTTTTGATCTCCTTTTTTCAAAATTTAGTGTGCTAAAAAGTTATTGTAAAAAGAAGATTAAATTTGTCATAAACGAAACCTAGGTGAAGATGAAATCATAGTAAATAGAAAAAGGATAAACAAGAAAAAAAAAAATTTAGGAAACATTTGGTTATGCTAATGCTAGCTATATTCTGATTAGTGACAAAAAATCATCATGATCTAGCATGAATCTTAATACATATTTGAATTAGGAACTTTCAAATTATATTCAAGATCTTCTCAACTCCGATTTTAGCAAATTTATAGTTAAATTGAATATCTCAAGGAGATGAACTCATCAATACCAAATTTTGTCCAATCCTAGCCCAAATGAGCTCAAATCAAAGGTCGAAAGCCTATTTAAAAACTTTAAAGCATTAATTGGATGATTAAATGATATTCAAATATAACATGCTTATAGTAGAATTGAGTGGCTCAACATGAAGAATCCAACAAGCCTAAGATCACTTAATTATGATAAAAAAAAAAACACTTAAATGCTCCATGAACAAGGGAATTAATATGGGTCATCCAATGGAACACCCTAAATTCACAATAAATCTTCTCCATATTTATTAAGCATGCATGCCACTCCCAAGAAACTATAAATACACCCACATTCTTCATATGAAGGGGGGAGAAAATAGGAAGAAGAGAAGAGCTCTAGTGCTTGAAGATTCCACGAGCTTCATCCAGGCACCACTACATATGATTATGTGCCACCAAGCCACCGCTGTAAAACCTCTGCTTGACCATCACCATCAGACCTCCATTTGATAGTAATTAATGAGCCTTCCTGCACCGTCATCATCAAACTATGGTTCCTCTGACCATCATCGCCTATCGACTACGATCTTTCCAACCATCATCACCTATTAACTTGGGTCCCTTCGACCACCTACACTCGCCGACTACAATCTCTCCGACCTCCATCACCTATCGACTCCGGTCCTTCCAACCATAGTGGCCCGTTGACTATGATCCTTCGACTACCGTCACCAATCGACTTTTGTTATTTTGACCTTAATCATCCGACAATGATCCCTCTGACATCCATGGCCCGACTATGGTCCTACTGAACAAACAAATAAGCCAACATTCTATTGAGAATAACTCTCATGTCATATGATCCTCCCAACTTCAACTATATAATATGCTCTATACAATATATATTTGTTATACCGAGCTTACACCTTCCCCAGAGGAAGGGCATCATTTGTAATCAATCATAAATACTAGTGGAATCATTTTGATTAAGCAAATACCCTGTGGTTTTTCCCCTTCTTAGAATTTTCCACTCTTAAAAGATTCAGGCATCCTTATGAATGTTGCACATCTCTCTATTATTTATGTGTGTATTGAATATTCATACAATGCTAGGACGTTAAATTTTATATTTATTTATTGTTGTGGATGTTTCAGGACGAAACAATAATCAAAGACATATACTCACAAAATTATTTCAACTAGGTAAGACTTTATTTTTTTTTATTATTATTTTTACATAAATACTTAGACGTCTTATATATTTTTTTGGACTTTTGTGTCAATTACGATAAGCTTACACAGACAACACAAGCGCAAGCTTCAAACTCAAGATCTCTTAGCTAATAGTCAAAACTCTCAACCAACACATCAAGATGAGCTACATATACCTTATATTTTTCATGCAAATATAATATATTAAACACCTTGTCCTACCTCAACTAATTTTCTAACACCCAATAAGAATTCATCTAAAGTGACCATAGTGATTAAAAAATTGATGTTGTTGCGATGGCATCTATGGCTATTTATGAACTTTGAATCCGACCTTGTCATCTGGAGAGATTATTAGGTGCGGAGTGCGGATGGGGAGAACCGTCCACAAAAACATTGAGTACCTAGATAGGTACCACTCGATACTTGTGCGGTCGATGCACACTCTGCACCTAATAATTTTTCTGTCATCTAACACTCCAACCCTCCATGTCTAAACTAACTTTTCTTCTTAGTAATTATTATTAAAAATGATGAACTCATAAACTCATAAGCAAATAATACATCTTTAATATAACTTTTTAAAAGTTTATATTTTTATGTCTTTATCATTCTATCAATGGTATAAATTTGATTTAAATGATACAATTTACAATGCAAAAATTATAACATTTAAACTGATGTATTCTTTATATTTTTATTTGAGCAATTATATTCTATAGGTATTTTGTAGATCACAATTCTTTTAATAATAGATTATTTATTATATTCATGAATTAATTTATTAGAGCAAGTCTTCTAACCAAGATTTGAATTTGATCTCGTTTAAATTTGATTTGAACTTATGCATAAATATATAACTGAAAAATCTACGTCGTCTCTTCTAATGGAGAAATTATTATATGCAGTCCAGCCTAATTAAAACCTGTATAATGTGTATAATTTATACATAGCTTATGTATAATTATACACAATATATGTGCAGACTAATGTGACATATTTTGATTAGAGCCCGGACAAAAGCTAGTTCGGATTCTACATGTAATAATTTCTCAGAGCGAGAAATTATTTTGTGCAGTCACCGAACCATTCCCAAATAAATCAAAATATGCCATACTCAGTACAAATATACACCAAAAAATAATATGATACTCTTATTTGCCTCAAATATATTTCCTTTGGAGCACAGTCCCCCCAATTCAGCTCGATATCCTCACCCAATATTTTTAACTTTAATAACAAAACACTAAATGAACAGTTTTAGAAAAAAAAAAACCGGAAATCTACCAGCGGCGTCTTCCCCGCAAACCAGCCGGCGGCGCATTGCTGCGATTTTCCGATGGAAGATACATATAATCAACTCATCAATTACAGAGGAGGGGAAGGAGAAGAGGCTGATGAAGGCGAAGATGGAGCGTTCCAAGGAGTCATGTCCATTGGGTAGCTGCCAAGAACGCGGAGGAAGGAAGTGAACTCCTGAATCTCGGCGAGGGCGTTCTGCGCGCGTGTCTCGGCCATGGAAGCTTCGAAATCGAGGTAGAAGAGGTACTCGAAGTGCTTAGCTGTGCCTACGTTGGCGTCGTCGACGAGGCGGATGGGGCGGTTACGGTGTGGACGGCTTTCGATTTTGGTGAGCGAGATGTCACGGAAGGCGAAGGCAGAGAGCACTTTGAAGAGCAGAGACGTCCCTTCGCGATCGTGGGCGAAGACGATGCTCGTTTTGAAAGGTCGATCTGTGCGAGGAATGATTGGTTCCCGCGCTAACATCACGAACCGCGTCACGTTGCCGGAGTCGTCTTGTATTCCGTCGGCGAGGATCTGAAGGCCGTAGAGCTCTGCAGCCCGAGACGACGCGATCGCCGCCGTGTCGCGCAGTCCGTTTGTCGCCACGTACTCGGCTGCCGCAGCCGTATCGTCGAATGCCTCGCGGGCAACGTTTAGACCAAGGTTTGTGAGGGTGTGCTCGCACTGCGCTAGGGCTTGGGGGTGGCTGATGACGCGGGTGAGGTACTCCTTGCGGACGCCAGGGAGGCAGAGGAGGCAGTGATGAACCGGCAGCTGAACCTCGCCAACGATGTGCAGACGGTGGCGTAGAAGGAGATCGTAGTTACGGTGGATGCTGCCGCCAAGGGAGTTTTCGACTGGGAGCACGGCGCGGTCGGCGATCCAAAGCTCCACGGCTTGGAAAGCAACCTCGAACTGGTCGCAGGGAATGGCCTCGCAGTTAGGGTACGCGCGCCCGGCTGCTGCCTCGCTGTACGCGCCGGGGACGCCCTGGTAGGCCACGCGTAGTTGGGATCCGTGCATCGGAGCCGGGGAGAGGTCGGAGATGGTCAGTGCTTTGGGGAGGTTACAGATCGGAACCAGATCTAACGTCGCCGACCCAGATATATGCCCGTTCACCGCGGAAACGACGGGGGAAAGCTTTCCGCCGGCTTCATCACCTGATACGCCTTTATTGCTGTCGCCATCTCCGGGAACGGGCTTGTCTGTCTCCTCCTGTTTCTTAGATACGGCGACCTTGCTGGAGAGTATAGCGCAGGTGCTGAGCCAATCGGCTCGGTTAGACCCGATGGCGCCTTTTCCGGAGAAGTCCGGCCGATAAATGCACTGTACGCAAGGGAATCGGGTCCGGGGACGAAGGGGGAGAGCAGGGCGGGAGCTGAGGGTAAGCTGGTGGGCGGGGTGGCTGCTGGGGTTAGTGGCGGCGGCTCTGACGGACGCCTGATTTGGGGGATGGGAGGATAGAATCGCCGCCATGGATAAACTCAGACAACCGCTAAAATCTAGGGAAATATGTATAAATAAATAAATATATATTAATGGAAACAGCGCTGCTCGCTTGGAGGAGCGAAACAGTCGGCGAATAGAAGGGGATAAAGCTTGAGAAGTTCTCGACGGAGAAGAACCCCAAGCTGGTTTGGGCTTGGGGAGATTGGGATTTTATGCGTAGAAGAAAGTGGAGGGTTTGGTGGGAGACGGAAGCATAGTCTGCGGCGAGAGAGGGTGAGAGGAAGTAACGGAGATGGTTTGGTGAACACGGCCAATAAGCTACCTACCAATTACCGCACACGTGCCTTCTCATTGCATCGCACGCTCGGCTATTCAACTACGGCAGCTCACTTTGATCTGGGAGCTTTGACAATTAAGGGATCTTAGGTTTAAAACTGAAGTATATGATGAGTGCACAATTAGTACTCAATCGCGTTCCAATATTAATTAAATTTTTATTTAATTCTTTTATGATTTTTTTTTTAATCAAGGAAGTAGAGATTTTTACATACATAACATTTAAAATTGATCTATTCGTTCATTTAATATATACATATTTTTATTTACTAAATTATCACTCTATTACCCTCTTACGTTTACTTGCTCTTACTCAAAATCGTGAAAGCCTTGTAGACGAGAAAATGTGAGGAACTCGAGGTTGGATCTTAGCCGTCGAGCAGATCAATAATGCATGAAGGGGATCGATCCTTGATGAGAAATAAAAGATAAGAAAATCTTTTCTTTTTTTTTTTTGACATTTAGGTTAATTAAGTTAAACTCAAATTCATGATCTAATATCACACACGTAAGACTCAAAGTCAATACCTAATGGTTAATAGCCAAAGCTATCAACCAACATTGCTAAAATAAAAAAGTTGTGATGAGATCTCATTGATGATGGACACTAATGCGATTTAATGATATATGAAGGACCTCAACAATAAAATAGACATGAAAGAGACATGATGGGATCTTATATTCTTATTAGGGGAGAATATGGATTAGATAGATGATGTGGGAAGGAGATAAAAGATCACCATGACCCATTGTGATGACAAGTTAAGAAGAAAATGAGTATAGATGGATTTTTGATATCCTAATGCAATATTTAAAATAAAAAAAAAATCGAATTAAATTCATTGTAATACAAATTTTGATTTCAAAAAACTTATCGTTTTAATTAAACATTGATGAAATCAAAAGTATCAAGTGTAACTTGCACACCCGAGAGACGCGCCAGAAGAAACGCTAGCCCAAAGCAAGCCTCGCCCTGAGAGATAGTTGCCAGAATTTTTTATGGGTTGGGTTTCGGGTCGTGTCAAATATTGACACCCCTAATTTGATAGTTTGATTCGATTTTTTATGGAGAAAATATAAATAGCTAGTGTTGATAATAAACCTAATTATATCTAACTTAATTAATATAGATTAAGAATAATATCTACAAAAATCTATAAATCAACATGTCAAATAAATAATATCTATACTAATCTTTCTATCAACTACACATTTATGCTTCATTTGATAGTCTTTATTATAGTTTTCTAAAACAGTTTTTTAGTATAAAAATTCTAATTCATGAAATTTTTGTACTACGAAACTGTTTTATAAAATAGTAAGAAATTCATCACAAACGAAGCCTTAAACTTCATAAACTTTATCAACTTAACATTTGAAAATATTAGAAAAATTTGTGTGATAGAAAAGTACCCCTCAAACTTAAGAGAAAATTCTATAAGATGGTAGTGAGGCCTGCAATGCTTTATGGTGCTGAATGTTGGCCATTAAAAGAGAAGCATAATACTAAGTTAAGTGTGGCGGAGATGAGGATGCTCAGGTGGATGAGTGGCTTTACCCTTAGAGATAGGATACGAAATGAGCATATACGTGAAAAGGTTGAAGTAGCTCCAATAGAAGATAAGATTAGAGAGAGTCGCCTTAGATGGTTTGGTCACATAAAACGGCGGCCTTCCAATGACCTGGTTAGGAGAGTAGAGGTATTAGATTTGGCTTATGTTAAGAAAGGTAGAGGCAGATCTAAAAAAACTTGGTTAGAAAATATTAGAAATGACCTTTCTTTATTAGATTTAAACGAGAATTTGACATTTAATAGGACACAATGGAGAAAAAAGAATTCATGTAGCCGACCCCACGTAGTGGGATAAAGGCTTGATGTTGTTTGTTGTTGTTAATTTTATCAAAGAAAAATTGAACTAATAACAAAGATTTAAAGAGAGTTAAAATTAGAACGAATAATCAAAGTGGTGTTAGTTTAATAATCATATCAAATTATACAAATTAGATTTTTTTTTAACTCATTTTTAGGCTTTATCTAAACAATGCACATCCCTACTTATAAACACAGTTCATTAAAGGTTTTTCCTTATCATGGAAGTTTCGGCAAAAAAAATACGATGAAAATTGCAGCAAAATAAAACTTCGCCAGCTATCTAAAATCTGCCACAAATGGATCAAAGGCTTTGTTTTCAAAGTTTTTTTTTTCTTTTATCGTTGTTGTGATAGGAATAATATCTAACAGAAATTAAGCTTTTTTTTTTAATAGAAACCCATAAAGGACTCACGCATTCCATCAAAAAAATATTATAGTTCCATACATAACCAAAAGCTATCTATAATATAATATTTGAAGTAAAACCTATGAGCCATTGTTCCTTACTAATACAAAAGATTAGACAATTAAAAAGGAAACGCCAACAGGATCAAAAAATAGCCAACAAAGAGGACGAAACTGCAAGTAGCACAACAACACGAACCCTTGAAACAACCTGTAAAAAGAGTAAAACATAGACATGCACTAATATTAGGCTATACAATCAGCCTACCAATCCAAATGCTGCCACAATAGAGCCACCACATTGCAACTCACAAATCCAATAGCCACAAAGAGCCGGCCCCAACTAGTCCACCTGTCAAAGAAACAATCAAAATAGAGAAAAGGAACAAAGTGAATCTCACTATTTTTTTATTTCCGTTTGTGATGTTTACCAATGCGTGAGTAGTCATTTAGTATAGCACGACTCACGATCAAATCAAAATAATCATGGAACGAATCATCCTGCTCATTCCTATCCTCCACATCAACCACACAAGGCGAAGAATGTGACTCGTCAAACCAGTCTCATTTTGTTCCAAAGAAGTTTCTCTCAGGCTGGCAATCAATTGAGCTTTCAAATCATTGGACGAATTGATAGAAATTGGGATATCAACAATAGACTCAATCCCATCCTTTCCCACAGGCAAGACCAACAAGGGTTGATCATCATAAACCATAGGAGATTCAACAGAAGGAATCGAACCACAAGCCAGTTTATTCACCACTTCCTTTTTAACATCACAAATTCCCTTATCCACCTCCATTGAACATTCAACAATCAGAGGAGCTATCACACCCCTAAGTGATTGAATCAAATAATTAACACACCCACCCACATCATCTTATCTATCCAAATCCGCTAAATGAGAAACACCTTTAATGCCCTCAATGTCCACAAGAGGATTCACATGATCAGAAACAACCACATTAGAGCATGGGAGCACATGGCCAACCAACAACCCCCCATCCCCAATAGGGGTAATATTTTCATGCTCAATCAGAATTTTCCCGCTCACAAGAACAGGTTCCACATTAGCAATTGTTTCATGCTTAGGAGAGTGTTGGAATATCAGCTAAATCAGGATGCAAAATATGACATTCAGATTTCGAATGATCCAAAACATTACAATGAACACAATAAGAGGGAAATTGTTCTATTTCAACCATCTGAATATAACCCATAGTTTCAGAACCAAGCCAAACTTGGTCAGGATATCACTTGGTAACATCTAACTCCACAAGAATGCGAGCAACTGAGGGCCTTGGTTAAGTTGCGTCATATATATAAATATTTATTAGGTTATAAAAATAGTTTATATCAATGCACCTAAGAAATGAAAACTTTTGGAATTAAATTTAAGATAATCCTAACTCTAATTTCAACAAATTTATAATCAAAATAAGTGTCTTTATGAGAAAAATTTGACGAGCCCAAATCATGCACATGAAATATAATTAGAAACTTTAGATCATCAATTGAATGATTAAATGATTTTCAAAGCTTACGTAAGAATCCAACTTCTAATTTATCGATATATTGTCCGCTTTGATCTAAGGGCTTCACAATTTTGTTCTATTGGTGTAACTTCTCTAGAGGTCACCAATTCCAGGATTTCTCTGAGATGAGCAAGCTTAACTATAGAGTTTTTAATGAAATTCCAACCATTACACCAAAAGGTGTCTCGATGTTTAAAAATTTAGCTTCTTTTACTTTAGGGGTTTCATAGCTTACTTGCTTAAAGACAGTTCAAGCATCTAGACAAGATGAATCCAACAAGTATATGGCTGCTTAATTCTGGAGAGAGAAGACACTTAAATGCTGAACAAATACTCTGTAGTTGAGGGAATTAATATGAACCATCTCATAGAGTATTCCAAATTTTCACAATTGTGTTGTGTTACTCAATGTCTAAAAACAATCATTTTGTTTGTTTGAAGTTCAAAATTATATTTAAGAAAAAGATAAATAAGTTAATTGCATTATTTAGTTGAAAGCTACTTATATTTTTGCATTAACATTAAGCTTAATAAATTTATTCAGAACATCTAAGAAATGATAATTTCATTTTTTATATAAAAATATAAGCGAAAAAGTCACATTTTGGAAAATATAATTTTTATACTAAAAATTATAGAATTATTATTTTTTTATCTCAAAGCTCATTTGATTGTTTGAAGTCAAAAATCATATTTTAAAATGGTAAATATAAAAATCATTTGGGTGACTAATGCATTTAACATGAATTTAACATATTTAATAATTTTCAATTCAAAATTTATACTTTAAAGAAGCCAAATAAAGTATTTGATAAAAGAAATAATAATTTCATAATTGTTGTGTGCTAGAAAAATTTATAGCGTTTTGAGACTTAGGCTTCGTTTGGGACGGCTTTTTTATTGATTTTTAAAACGGAGTTGTAGTACAACTTTTTTAATTTTTGTACTAAAACTCCGTTTTCAGAAGCAATAAAAAAGCAGCCCCAAACGAAGCTTCGTTTGGGACTGCTTTTTTATTGCTTTCTAAAACGAAGTTTTAGTAAAAAATAAAAAAATTTGTACTAAAACTCCGTTTTAGAAAGCAATAAAAAAGCCGTCCCAAACAAATCCTTAGGCTTCGTTTGCCACAGCATTCTTACTACTTTTTAAATCATTTTTTTGTACA